ATGCAGAACTGTTTGAACATATGTAGAGTGTTTAAATGACTAGATGGCACCTTACTAACATTATGAAGTGTGAAGGAGAATAGTTCAGCTTTTGAATGAACCAAAAATCGAGTTATTTGGAGCAGAATTGCAAAAGTTATTGAAGTTTTTAGACCACAAAATATTGTCTTCATACTCATGACCCAAATTTCAGGTATTGTTACATGTGAGTTTTTGATGATTTTCAGCGTTTATTGTTAGTACATAAACCAATATCTGCGTGTAAAATACAAAAAAATACTCATCATGACGCCCCAACATCTAGGAACAAGGTGCATATTTTTTCAGATTTTTAGCTCTCTTCCTGTTGCCTCAGGACTTTTCTATGTCAGTAGTTTTCTTTACCGCCCGGTAAAGATTACATTTGGTGTAGTGTAAAGCGAGTTGAGGTCGCTTACATAGAATCGAAGATTACCTAAGTCACCAAAGAAGCTGTTTAATCAATCGGACTAATTAATTGGGATCCCACTATTTCTCGCCCCCTTGGCAAGTATCCGTCGCCCCCTTGATTTGGGGCATTACCCGGGATACCCGACGGAACCCGAGCGACTCCAGCCAAATTCTTGGTGAGTCGGACCGCTGGGGCGATTAGGGGCTACCACCTCTGGCAGCTTCTCACGCTTTCTCACGAGACACACCCATATTTGCCCCTATTTGTCCTACTCTGCGCCCCTTTTTATATAATGAGGCGCAAAAGACAACATTGCCTTATCACAAGGGGTGCACACCTCGTCACAAGAAACAAAAATTGGAAGTAGGTCGCGACAAGAAAGGAAGACCATAAACTGGGTAACTTGTGATTCCAAGCTACACTCAAGAAATCAATCAGTCAGTGCATGGAGTTGTGGGCAAGTCAGTGCATAAAGTTTGAGAAGAAGAATCTGATCCTTGCGAGATTTCTTTCACTAGCGGTTCGATGCTAGAGACAGATTACCGCAGATCAATCCTTACGCGCGTTCAACTTCATGAAGGATTTTCATTTGTTCCAATCAAGATGAAGTTTTTTTTTCCTTTTGTATCAAGAAAGGTCAACATTTCAGACTTGAGCTTCAATTTTAGTCACACTTCATCCTTCTGCGCTCAGTTCCCCTCGGATGGTTTTTACAGTTCATCTTGGCGTAGGAATGCATTTCATGAGGATGGCAAGTCATCGACCACTCCGATTTTTCTTTCACTTCCCTTGTATTTAGAACACACCTTCAGCGGACTCATTGACAGATTTGATACCTCTGCGCTGAAGGTTTTACTCAAATCAAGCTGCTTGATCAATGTTAGACAGCCATGCAGTTTGATCTTGATGATAGAGGAATTGATATCGAGGTCAGAGCGGGAATCGGACTTAGCTGTCGCACTCGCTTTAAGATCAAAAGTCCGAGTTTGGCTATCTTCACACGTATCAAGTAGGTGGTCGTATTTTGTAGCAATCGTAATTCTGAAGACAATAAAGGTGATGGTTACCCCGTTCCTCTGATAATACAGTCCCTCCCCTTTTATTTACATTAGCCATCGATCCCAATAGAGGGAGGATGGGAACAACAAAAGATGATAGATCAGTCGCCCCTTTTAGTCGCCCCTTTTTTAAAAGGGGGCGACTAAATGCTTGTCGCCTCATCTCCGGTCCGACAAGGGGCGACAGATACTTGCAAAGGGGGCGAGGAATAGTGGGATCCATTAATTGTATGTGACATCAGGATCACATACCTTTATACTGAGTCATGCGTATGAAGTTTGTTGTGTGACCAAATTCATACTCGACAGCAATTCGACAAGTCGCCATTAGAGTATTGAACTGTGCTTGATTTGGGCGAAGATTGATACCTCGATACGGTGTCAGCATGACCGGCGAATTCTGATATCCTTGATCGCCGTAGATCATCATTTGTCGGCCCCTGAAGCCTTTTGCATCCCACTCTAAGACCTACCTTAAGCCCGACATCCTCATGATTGCAGTGTCGTGGCGTGATCCAATGTATGCCTCTGTTAGATCCGCAGTGATTCCGCTACCAGGCCAACCCAAAGTTTTGTTAGCTAAAACCAAAAGAAACAATTAAATGAAAACACAACCTACTCGGGGGTAACCACAGCCTGATATTTGAGAGTGTGAACTTGCTTGTGGCCATTGTAAAAGGCGCGCTGGTTGAATTTTGGTTGGGAAATTCGCCACACCGTTCCTGGCAGCAAGGTAACTAGTCATGAGAAACATGAAGGTGTTCAAGGATAGACTGGATACTTACCATATACAAATCCCACACAGTTATCCATTGGGCAATCTCTTGAATCAACCAGTGATGCAGCAAAATCTTCCAAGACAGCGGGTGGATACCGGCGAGCATCCCATTGCAATAAATGCCCCCAATTCTCACACATCCATGCTTGCACCCATAGACCGATTTGGCCTATAGTGAAACATCACGGCCAAAAAGTTGAGAAAGGTCGAAATATTGAGATGGAGTTGCCAATCTCGCCATATAGATGGCAAGAGCTGTAGTACCAACTTCTCTAGCTCGATTCGGCAGGACAACTGATTCTGGAAAGCCACCCCAGTGGTGGATCTCCAGCAACCCATCCGGATAGAATCTCGTGGTAAGTTTGCAGATGTGAGGATGCCATGTCTCGACGTTAACACGGCGGACCGTCAAGTCGGGTAGAGGCTCACCTCCCAATCGTTCGATATACATCAGGTACAGTAGGATATGTTCAAGTTCGTTGATCTCGTAGGTATGCCACCAGGCGAGCATCAACGTTGAGGTAGCAAGAGCTGGAGACCTGGAAAGTGGGAGTCCGTTTGGTTGGAAGAGGATGTTGTCTTGCATGTTGTTGAGAGGCAAATAGGGGGAAACTTTTGGAAATCACTACACCGCGGGGCGACTTTCACCGTTCGTCACGTCAGAACGACCTTTTTTGAGAACATGTCGGGTTTACGTATGGGATAGGGTGAGCGATACATAAATTTGGTCCCATGTGACCCTCACGTACCTGTCATGTGGCCCTAATGTAGCGAGAGATCCCAACGTAAGCGATGTGCCAGCTGTGTGAGGTGGTGGCCACATATACAAGCTACTATGCTCACCACACATTTTCATTGTGGGTGAGCACCATCCAAGGAACACGTGGTGAGCAGGTGGCTCATATGCAAAGAATTGGTTAGCTGTGTGATATGGTGGCTACAGATGATCCGCTGTGAAGCCTACGTGCTGGGTATCAAGGCTGACAGAAATGAAGATGAGCAAAATCATTCAGAAATTTTGTTTTGATTGTCTGACTTCTCATTCTCCCGCCTTTGAAAACTCATTCCTGCTCACGTCCAATTGGCAATCAACTCAGGAATTCAAAGCAAGAGAAGTCAAGCTGTGTAATTTAGTGGTTATCATATAAAGATGTGAGCAGGCAACTTGATTTCATTTCCACTCACAGCGTTCTATAGTATCAGAAAGACTGTGAGTGGAGATCTGAGTCGCGTTCCTTTGAAACAAGCGCTTCGATCTAATTGTGAATTGATTCGGTCGAATTGATAGAGCGTTCTCAAAACCTGGTGTGAACTCTGCCTGGAAGAACACCATCCAGGTCGTCACCGGTGCGATTTGCTTCAAAATGCCAAAAAGGGGAAACTTGCATCCCTGTAAGCCTGACACGTCCTTGAGAGATCACAAGTACACACAGCCAACAAAGATGCCTCGGATTGAAAAATCCGAGGTATCATCGGACTCAAATCCTTGGCCAAAATCTTTCCGAGGTCTTGATCCAAGGTATTATTTTGCGTCAAAAAATACCTCGGATCAAATCCTCGGACAAGACCTGTCCGAGGGTTTCCATCCGATGATGCCTCGGATTGAAAAATCCGAGGCATCTATGTTGGCGGTGACACTGATACTGCGTTTTATTTGAAGATATCAAAGTAAATAACCATCATAAGCATCACTATGAATGCTCGTTCTGTGGCACACAAAAATTTAAGTCGATCAGCCGTCATGTGTCAAGACCCACACACCAGGCTTGTGTGATACAAGCGGAGCAACCGGCACCTGCGCCACTTAAGATGCCTTCGCTACTGGGTTACCAAACAACTTCTACGCAGACTGGTCTGATTAACCTCGAGTCTTGTGATGAAGAAGATATGCTCAATTCTTGTGATGAAGAAGATATGCTCGAGTCTTGTGATGATGAGGATATGAATAAAAACTCAGAATCTGACATTGATCCTTACGACATTGACGGATTCTCTCAGTCTACGTTTGATTCTCAAAGCGGGGGCGAAGTGGATCCACATGTTCTCAACATGAATGAATTGTCAGGAACTTCTGAATCAGATCTCGATGAAGCAACAGGCTTTGAGGATGAATCTGACTGGAGTGATGATTCTGACTCCAGTGATGAGTCTGAGTCGGACAACAATCTAGAAGTTGAACCAGCAACATTAACAGGAATTCAGGATAAGAGTGAATGGTATCCATTTAAAAAAAAAGAAGTGAGTAATTGTTATTTCATACAACATGCACAGGGGCAAAAATTGATGCTCACAACTATGTGAGCGTTGAAATTTTCCTGTTTTGTTCCCATTTGTTTCCCTTTTCTTTCTGCTTGTCAGCTCATTATGTCATCAACAGAAACTGAGGAGATGAGTCAGGCCTCCCTCAGGCAACATTCCTTAGCAAAGAAGCTGAGGGAGGGCTGGCCCATCTGCTGACTTCATCTAAGCCCCTCAGCTCATCCTCAGCGGCATCCCTTGACACCTGCTGATCCGGGGGACACCTGTGGCTGGATGGGCTTTTGTCAAACTAGCCCCGTGTTGGGTTTTATTGTACAACACCAACCCAAACTGTTTTGGGAACAAGGGCAACTGGGATATCCCCAACAGTGCTGACTGTCAGCAGACAGTAATCACTTTCACGTCCCTTTTGCAGACCTTACAAACCCGTGATATCCTCTCAAGTTTCACACACTCCTTTCTCGCGCGTCACACCACACACTTCTTGGATGCACCAGGAACTACTCGAGTGACTCTTGAACTCTTCAATCAACCTTCAATCCAAGTCAAACGAGAATCATCTCATCAACAACAACACATAACCAAACAACAAACAAATAACTGACCAACAAACACATAACTGACCAACAAAGACAAAGAAAAATTTACCTTCTGATTGTGCAAAGAAACAAACATCAACATCCTGTTTTATTTGCTTTCTTAATCACAGCGTGGCTGTCCAGCTGGGTTTCACTCATGCCAATCATGGGTGGAATTTGGGATATAGCAAAACCGGTTCCAGTGACTCGTTCAAATTGCGAGTGAGTCATTTTCCTACAAAAGCACAGGGACTTTGCTCATTGAACTTGTATGACTTGATCACAGTACTGGCTGGGCCACACCTCAGATTATGTCGAGCCAACACCATGCTTGTCGCATATTGTACGCAACAGTCACAGTTTGTTCCTTCTTGAGGTTCCTGACATTCGATATCATCCACATCTCGCACTTTTCCCTGATCTCTAGTTTGGATGGCTATCCCTGGCTTTGCATTTGCGTTTTTGGGCGAAGTGCTACGGATTAGATGGGATATTTCACGAATCACAAGAATAGAAAAACGCACAAGTAGCGCGAGTACTCTCATAGAGGTTCCTTGTGGTAAGGAGAAAAGACACAAGAAGCTAGTCTACTGGCATCGTATTTTCACTGAAGCCCTCATGGTCGCCAACCAACTGGTCTTGTTGGAATATTTTCTGGTGGCAATTCCACTGCTCACGTCGCTACCTGCGCCTTTCATGACTGCTTGAGCGTTTTATAGGCATGATTGGATGACTGCACATGGTTTTTCACACTTTTATATCACAATAAGTTGAGAAGTAGAAGTCTGACGTGTTCATCTGTCTTGCTCAAAATCAGCGGATCAATTCACTTGAACGGCATTGGGAGAAGACACACAGACAAAAGTGACACCTGTGTCACAATAAATGCACGGACTCAACCCGAAGAAAAAAAGAGTAATCATTTCGGCTTGTATCCGAAAATCTGCATACAGATTCATCCCAGATGCACAGAGACATCTGCTCAACCTTTATAAACACCAAGTCAAAGTCCTCTACCACACCAAACAAGTATGTAAACATTGCTCAGACAGTCTCAGGAGCACTCTAGAGTACATATGGACTTTTTTACTACAATTCCAGAGGTTTGCCCTTTTCACATACTCAGAGGGATTTATAGGCGTCCAGATGAATCTGACATGTCTACACATTGTGATTTAGACTCTCCCTGCGTGCACATTCAGATCAATCTGACTCTCAAGAGTACATGATGCTATCAATCATTTTTCTGATTGACGTACCCAGATGCATCCGTGTCAGATGCATCTGACACTTGCACCGCAAGATTGACTCACTTCCAGATGCAGATCACTCTGAATTTTCAGAGTACACGCTCTGAATCAAGATAGCCGCACTGTGCTTGACAAACCCAGATGCATCTGGTTAAGATGCAAAGAATCAGAATCTGATATTGATCATGTGATACCTGTGTGATACCTGGTCTGGATATTTAAAGCCAAGACATTCAGATCAATCTGACTTGTCCAGTTCTAAAACCTCCAGACGCTGAAGGATGCACAGATGCATCTGGGTGTGAGCATCTGCTCCCAGATGTGCTGATTGTCCGGTCCCTTGGCTGGAGCTAGATCCCTGTGACATCCCAGACACATCTGGACTACTAGCTACCTAGACTGCTTCTCACATTACCCAGATGGCTCTGGGACGCTTAGTTGAACAGATGCATCTGTTGATATATTCCACTGATGAATACGTACAAGTCACAACTCTCCACCATCTAACTCTACATCATGGAGGAGCAAGCCTAGGTGGTTGTACATTTCATCTTCTTTGTTGCCAGGGATGCCTCCCACCATAACAGCTTCTGGCTCCATTGCTTCCTTTGCCTCTATTGCAGCCTTGAGCAGAGTACTCCATTTTTTGGACAGGTCATCATAGATGGGGATGTTCACATCAGTATAGGCACATGTCCTTTCCAACAGGTGATTCAAGTCCGATCCCCAGTTCACCCAAAGATGGCAGTACTCATTCAAGAGGGAATGGTGTTGTGAGGACAAAACCTCGACACACTCTTCCCAGTTTTGCTTTGAAACTTGAGTATGTCCTAATACCCACTGAATAGGTTCTGCGAAATTAAAATCACTGTTCCACTCTATGATAGTGTATCAGAAAAACATAAAAGTGTTTGTGAGAAGAACAGGCCTTACCCGTATAACATACATCTGCTAAAGACTCGAGTTTGTTTGCCATCATTACCGCCCAATCGATAACATGCAAAACTTCACATCCAATGCGACGTAGCTCCTCATTGCAGCTTCGAACTTTCAGATACGACCGGATTCCCTCTTGAGTTGCCTTATTCACCGCCCAATCCTCATTTGGATGAGTAAGATTACCAAAATTCCAGAAATCATCTTCAATGTCCATCTTCTCTACACCTTCAAGACTGGGGCATTCAATCGGATCATCTGGGTCATATGTGTCGTTGTAATCAGAGACCTGAGTGTGATATGTCTTCCACTTGCTTTTTAACAGCTTAATTTCATTTTTCATCTTTTGCTTAAAGGAAGCTTGAACTTTTGTACCTGTCATGTCAGAATGTATCAAGTCAGTAAGTCCACTTCGAATTTGTTTGATGAATGTGAGAAACTACCTAAGCCTGGGCGATCCCAACGCCTCTGCAATTCGATAATTCCAACCCTGGCTTCGTAGAGGCGAGCTTTAGCAATGCGAACTCGAATGCGAGCTCTTCCCCTTGGGTCTAGCCAGATTTAAATTTCATTGGTACACTTATCATTGAATCAAATGATATAAATAGGACACAAGTTACCTTGTGCCCCAGGAATGTCTCTAAAGTCCTGACTTCCTAGATCGGCAACAACTTCATTGATCTCCACCTCCAAAAAGACCAAACTAGCTGGCAGACTAGCTAGCTCGGTGTTTTCTTCTTCTGTACGCGTTCGTCTGCGCTTCTCACGAAGCTCCTCAAGTCGCTGCCTGAGACATCGCATCAGCTTCATGAGTTGAGTCGATAAATGAAGACAGAGACGTAACTCACTTTTGTATACGACACTGCTCTTCAAGCCCTATCAGACGTTCAAGCTGACCGGTCAAGTCCGACAAGACAGTATTTCCCAGCAGATCAAGCTGGGCCTTTCGTTGTTGATCCCATTGATCTGCATAGTATTCGGGCAGTCTACCCTCTTCCTCAAGTAGGTGATTCAGCACTGACATGTTTTCCTCAAGCTCTTTCTCATATTCATTTAACTTCGACATAAACCATTTTACTGTTGGAAAACATTGAGCATTGAGCATTTGTAGACGACGGATTATAAAATATAGCAAGATCACTCACCTGCGTTCTCCAGACAAATATGATTCATGTGATGTGTCTTGAGATCCAAAGAAACCTTTCGGTGTAAGCTGGTAACGTATCGATTGGCCGGAACCTCGGGGGAAAGCTTCCACCAGACACGTTCAGACCCTTTGCCGTCAGACTTGCCCCAACCTTTATTTTTTCGAGGGTCATAGGCCAGCTGACAACCATATGCGTGAGCATATGAATGGAAGGCACCCACAGCAAACTTCATCCTACCAGCCTGCCTTTCATCTTCAAAGAGCTTGTGCTGTTTATAGTTTGTAAGGTATTATTAACTGCGTTTAACCCCTGTAAAAAAAACCAAAACTTACCCGGATAATACCCTTCTCGAGGTTGCAACCGACATCGTAAATGACACCGGTAGTTTTAGGTGGTCCTTCTGCACTGCAAAGTTGATCAAACAACCAGTCAATCAGAGCGTGAGCGAAGTAGGCTCTAAATACAAACAAATGATGGGAAAAAAAATCAGTTCTGGTAGATACGATTGATGATCAAGTGGGCACGGACTTTTCACCACTCTGGACCACGTTCACATAGGCCAGGACGTTGTTGTGTCTACAACACATGCCGGATAAACCTGTGTCATCGCAAGCTCGCCAAGATTTGCCGTCGCGTTGATCGTTTGCTGCAGTGTGTGAAGCGGTACATTGGTCCTAGTTGCAAACCAATAGTTAGCTCACGTCCTACAGAAAGAACAGTAACAAATAAGTCTACATTAGTTAACTTTACATTAGGCTCTGGTTGTTGAGACCACTTATTGAGTCGATCGTCCGATAAGAAGAGTGCTGGAGTATGCTTTTCAATTAAGTCCAATTCAACACTGGCAGACTTATGACGTCGTTGTTGAAAGTTACAATCAAGGCATACACACTACACAAACTATAATATTTTCTGGGCAGAAAATTAAATTATTGATACACAAAAATATTGAGAGGCCAGGAGAAGGGCAAAAAATAAATAAAAATATGCATCTTGTTCCCTGCGGTGAGAGCTTCACTCTCCATATTTTTCCATATTTTTACAGTCCGTATTGATAAGTGTACTAACAATAAACCTTCATAATCATCCAATTACAACCTGTAACAAGCACTAAAATTTGGCTCATTAGTGTTTAGAGAAACTTTTGATTTCTGAAAAGCGCCTATAACTTTGTCAAATCTGCCTCAAAACACTCGATTTAAGTGCA